AGCAAGACGAACTCACCAGCGAGAGAGAAGGCAAGCAGCAAGAAGCCAGGTGGTCGCCTCTGCCTTGGTCTTTTATACCGGCTGCCATCAGAAGGTAACACCCACATTTAGGGTGTGTCTCCCAGCAGATGATCCAATCAAGATCTAATTTCAGTTAATCCAAGATCCAGTCAAGTTGACACCCAGGATTAGACATCACACCAGGGCAGGAATTTTAGCAAAAGGAGCTTGCCACCAAGCCTGATGACCCGAGTTCAATCTCTGAGACCCACACAGTGGAAGGAGAGAAACGACTCCCAAAAGTTGTTCTCTGACCACCTCCACATGTGCACTGTGATATGTGTACGTACACATGTGCATACACACACACATGCATGCACACACACGTGTGCATACATAGGAACAAAATTCAGACACACGCTCCCACACAGATAAACCCTGAAGACGTTACGCTAAGGGAACTTTCCTAGTCACAAACACACAAATTAAAAATAAAAAAATCTTTTAAAACCATGAGAGTGGGTGGGTACAGTGCTTGCTCAGCATACACAAGGCCCTGGGTTTGATCCCTAGTATTGCATAATCTGGGGGTGGTGATGCATGCCTGTAATCCTAACACTCAGGAGATGTTGGTGGGATAATCAGGAGTTCAAGGTCATCCTCAGCTACATGGGCGGTTCAAGGCTACCCTGGGATACACAAGACCCAGTGTCAGAAAGAAAAAAGAAAAAATGCCAACCAGCAGGGGCAAATCTCACAAACATATTCCACTGAAAACCCAGTCTCAGAAGAATTCCCACTGTATGACGGTGTTCACATTTCTAAACCAGAAAGCAAGTAAAGTGTTTAGGAATGTAAATTAAGACAAACTGTTGGGAAGAGCAAGGTGGTGAGCTTTCCGTGGCTCCTACAGGAGCTCCGCTGGGGAGGCTGAGTGCGAGAGGCGGCATGTGACCAGAGGCTGGCCAAGGCTGCTGGGTGGCACCTAAACCAGCCGGAAGCTTAGTAATTGCAGAGTGAGCGGGCCCAGCTACCAATGCTCCTCAGCTGGGCATATCAGAGGCTCCCTTCTGCAAGCCGCCATCAGCTAATGACTGCCACCTGCAGGCCCGAGGTGCGTGGACGCACTCAGCTACTGGCCAGACCCTGAGCTCTTCCTAAATGCTGGCCAGGGAGCAATGTCAAAAGCAACCAGAGGGGCTGGGGTTGTAGTTCAGTAAGAGCAGTGCCTAGCATTCCCAAAGTCCTTGGTTCTATTCCCAGTAACATGCACACAGAGGCAACTAGAACTATAACCCAACTTTACTCAAGATAAGCGGTGCCACCTGCAGGACCAGGTCAACCTAGAAAACCTCACAGGCAGTGGGAAGCCCAGGCTCCTGCGTCTGATCTCAGTGCTGCAGGGTGGCAGGGGCTGGGGGAGCTCTGAGAACCCAGGATGGAGCCCAGGGACCTGGACTTTGAGGGGACACTGCAAGATCACAGGACCAACTGCCTTGAGTACAGGCTGACCATCTACTGCAGGTGTGAACTGGCCCCTAGCTGACCTCTTCAGGTGCAGGTGGCCCTGGCTATTTGCTACAGGTGTGGGTGATTGATGCAAAAAAATCCTTCCCTGGGGGAGATGTCAACACCATCTACCCCCTCCTCCTAAGGTTCCAATGACAAACCACAGTACAGTTTCAAAGTTCCTGCTGGAGAACCAATGAGTTTATTAGGTTTGCTTAGAGGAGTGGTGAGGGTTACAGCAGGAGGAGGTGGCCAGCAGCCACAGTATTAGGTCTGTACCCAACATGGATGATGACTTCCCCATCACTGCATAGATCCTTCCAAGCCTATATACTTCACCCCCGCCCCAAGTCCCTGAGGTCATCTGCAATGAAAGCAGACTTGCACAGGTGGGTCTCTTGCCAGCCTGCCTCTCTTGACCACAAGCACAAAGGGTCTCCCGATGGAAAGAGTTCCATTCCCTCCCCAGGCCTCAGTCAGAGTCTCTGGGCATTAATAAACCCTGATAGTGGGTTGGGAATACCCACAAGCCTCTGTCCTCAAGCCTCAGCACTGGGGATGCGCACAGGAATCCGGTAGCCAGAAGGTTCAAGATGGTTCTGTAGAAGACATGGAGCCTCATGCAAGTCCTGAAAGGTGATCAGTAACAGCACCCAGCGGTGACACCCAGCTCCCCTATGAGGTGAGAGTCTCATGCTGCCTTTGCCCACCCCACTGGCCTGCCCACCCTGAGGCACCACTCTGGGCAAAACCCCCAAAGCAGGGCAGCTCTGCTGTGTGCCCAAGAAACTACCTTCAAGCCCCTGGTGTGCCACACGGGATGGCAGTGGCAGGAACGGCGCAGGGCTACGCCCCAGAATCCAGCTTCTGGGGCAAGGAGGGCGTCCCCAACCCCCAGCTGTCACTTTGGAGTGAGCACTGAACAGGGGTGAATTCTCAGGGAGGGGGGCAGGTCCACACACTGAGGCCTGGGAGTAGCTGAGTGGGGAGAGGGTAGGGAAGTGGATGGGGGAGCAGCATTGGAGCGGCTGACATAGGCTTGGGCCCATAACCAACCAGCAAGGACCAACGGCAGGGTCACTGCTCACTGCCTTCTAAACCTAGCAATATTGGCCAACAAGACCACTAATGTGGAGCAAAAAAGAGAGGTGATGGCCAGGTACAGTGGCACATACCTTTAATCTCACAACTTTGGAGGCAGAGGCAGGTTGATCAGAGATCAAGGGCAGCCTAGGCTACAGTGAGTTCCAGATCAGCTGGGGCTACAGGGAGACCCTGTCTAAAAAGGGGGGCACGGTTGCACAAAGAACTACACCTGTGCCCACAGAACCTTACAGGAGTAGCCACCCCCCACCAAGGCCCCAAGTCAGGCAGCCCCTTCTCCTAAGCTCCTAGAGGACGACACACAGGAAGGCCTCATAAAGGCCTTGTTTCCCCCACCTTCCAGATCCCCTGGGCTGCTGCTGTTATTCCCCCCTACAGGGGCCAGACCCCACCAGAGCCTGGGGATGCAGTCTCTCACCCTTCTGGTTTGCAGAGCTACTGAGAACAGACTGTCCTCTGTCCCAGGACCCTGTACGCTGTGTCTCCTGCCCCTCCAAGCCCTCTGGCCTCCCACCATCTGAGAAGTCTGTGACCAATGACTGCTCCTACCTATAAGCCAGGCTGGGCCTCAGGCTTTCTTAGCACAAGCTCATAGAAAGACCACCTGCCTCCTGGAATGGTGTCCACACTCATGTCCATGGGAGGCAGGACCCCAGCCATGGCTCTGAACAAACTAAGACTCACTGACCCTCTCCACAGATGTAGCAGGATTTTCACGAGCTATGCACCTGACCACATCAGCATCCAGGGCTTAAAACGTCTGGACGACTGCAGAGGTGGACAACCGATCCAGCCTAAGTGCTTAAGAGGGGGGAGTGGGACCAGGAAGGCCAGGGTGACAGAACCAGAAAGCAGGCCAGGACCCTGACGCAGCCCAACATCACATGCCTTTAAATGGTGGTCCATACCCAGAGACAGGGACAGGGAGGCCAGAGACAAGCTCATCATCCCAGCCCCAGAGGCAGTGGCAGAGAGTAGGGAGCGTATGCATGCTGTACCTCTGAGGACTTATGTCTACTTTCCCAAGGCCGCAGCGGCCATGGGATGTCAGCATGCATGCCCAACACACACACACACACCCCAACATACATGGATGTACAAATACACATACATGGCAACACATGGGTGCACATACACACCAATACATAAGGATGCCCAAACACACAAGCCTGCCTGGTATACACACACATGAAGACATGGTGTCTTCTGGAAGACATGCAAATTCAGGAACCTTGAGTCGACTGATGAGCCAAAATAAAGATGATCAATGGGACCTGGCGTGCTTCAGGCACATTTGTGGCCAGGACTCTGGGGTCCATTCCCTCCCTCTGCCCATGAAACATGGGTGCTAGGAGGTGGTGACTTCCTGAAGGTGGACAGCTCTGCCTAGCACCTGCCTGCACCACAGTGGTACAGTGCACTCATGTCTTCCTGGACTGCCACATGCTGCTGAGCTTGGAGTGCATGACAATCTCACCGCATGCAGCCCCCAAGTGAGCCTACGCCACCTGCTCCTGGGCTTTTCTATGCCATGACTCATTGCAATGAATGAACATTCCGCTGCCTGTGGGGGTGGCAGCCTGGTGGGGGCTCTGAGCTCACATTCCTCTTGGGAGAATGGGGCTGCTCTGAACCCCCCAAATAGGTTATGGAGGGGTCACAGAGACCTGGGGCTGTCTCCAGATTTAGACAAGCCCCTAGCCTGTCTGGGGAGACTGATACCCACCTTCACTGTGACTGAGATCTCACAGATGGGGGACACCAGACCTCAGTTTACCTACCACAGTGCAGTCTTTTCCAATATGAAGGAGTGTGGTCCAGACACTGAGGGGAGGTGGCCAACCAGGGCCCCCAATAGCCTCCAAGCACAGCAAGTATGAAGGTGACCAGCGGCAAAGGGGGAGCTGGCCTTTTCCCTTGGGGCATGCTACTCTGGGAAAGGAGCCACCAGAGTTCCCCTAAAGGACCCCACCCAGTCCAAACACCTGACCCCAGGGATAAGAAGCAAAGCAGAGTTCACAGGCCGACGACCCTCAAGGAATTATGTGCCTGGTTGCCAGCACCTCCCTGGGAGTGAGACACAGAACTAGGTTATTTAGGGATCCCACAAAGCCAAGAACCTCCCAGAAAAGATCCAGACAGCTGCTTGCACTCTGAATGGAGGGGGTGCAATGTGCCCAATGAATCAGATTAATTACACAAAAACCAGAGAAACACTGCTTCCTCCAGAAAACAGTTTCCCTCTTTAATACACCACTCAAGTGGCCCTGCCAGCCTCCCCAAAATTAGAACACAGGTGCAAACCAAACTCAAAATGGGCACAGGACACGGATACCAGTTGTCCACGTGCTCAGTGCCCCCCACCCCCAAAAAAACACCCAACACAGCTAGCAGGGGAAGAAATCAGGAAAGAGGCTGTCCATGTCATCCTTCAAGGCCAGGCTGCAGCTGCTGCCCAGGTCCAAGCCCCACAGCTCCGGAGGGCTGGCCTTGAGCTCCTGGGAGCTAGACTCCGAGTCCACCGTGAACTCCAGCTCTGTCCAGTCAATCGGACTGCTTCTGGCTAGGGTTGTGCCTCCTCTGCCTGCCACCAACCCTGCAAGTAAAGTGACTATCAGTGTAAACAGATAGGTGCAGGACTCTGTAGCAGGCTGTTACAGCCCAGATACTGCCACACCCTGCCCACTCTGAAAGCCCTCTACTGCTCTGGGGGAGGGAAAGGTGAGCCCATTCCTCTCCTCCCACTGAGGCCAGTGAGGGGTTGAGCCCAACCCTGGTGGCCCTGCTCCTCATGGGATCCCTCTCAGATCAGAAACTGACAGTGTTCTCTCGACACTGAATTCTAAAGGCAGTGGAGACACGATGTGACCTGCCGACCAGATGCATCGGTAGCCCAGGGACACCACTAAAAGGGTCCAGGACTCCATAGTCACTTCCATGTCATGCATTCAATGCAGTCACACCTGGTCACACCGCCACTCTGTCCCTACAAGTTATCCTGATCGTCACCAGGCAAGGCAAGGGGGATAGCCTAGGGACGTCAGGTCAAGAGGCAAGCTGGGCCTGGGCAGTCTCCCTGAGCCTGTCAGGTTCGGCAGAGACCTCAGAGCCTGTGAGTGACGGCAGCCTGGACCCACAGCCCCACTCACCCGACCACCAATCAGAGCTGGCAGTCAGCAGAAAGGATGCTCTGTCTTCCAAGTCGGACCCTGCGGTGTACCTGGAGGTGAGAAGATCCCCTGGTGGCCATGGGTACACTGAGTGCTACAACCTCCGCAGAAACCAGCCCGCATCCTGCAAAAGCCTTTCAGAGTCCAGCAGGCCCAGTGCCACAGGAACACATGCAGAAGTCACAGGGCGCAGACCACGGGCACAGGGCCCAAGCCCTGCTCTGCTGGCCAGAGCTCCGATGGCTTCTCCAGCCACAGCCTCATCCCTCCCTCTCCCTCCCACACCCCAGCTGGTGTGTGTTCGCAAAACACAAACTCATTTCACCATCAGCCCAAACAAAAGACAATTACGAGACAAAAATGTTTTAGAAACATCAGAAAGCCACATGGCCGGTCTGGCCTGGGCCTGTTGCCTCAGCCGCCTCAGTGTGGCAGAGCCCAAGGTAGACAAGCAATGGCGTACACCCATGCACTGAGGCGCCCACCTGGCATCTGGCACATGTGTCAGGTCCAAGCTAGACTCCTCTTCGAGTAGCATATCTGGAGATTCAGTGTCCCTGGCCAGGGACCCAGCCTGGTACAACTCATCAGGAAAATCTTCACTCTTATGTGGGGAGGTCGACTGCTGTGAGTGAGGAATCCAGGCTGGGAGCCCAGGACTCATGTTGGAAGGCTCTGATGGGGAGAAGAGGTCAATCCTCAAGGTTTAGGCCAGGGTTCTGTCCCGCAGTGTGGACAGGTGGAAGCCAGAAATAGGTAGCACCAGCTAACCCAGCACAGGTGGGTCCACAGCCAGGAGTCCAATCTAAAGTCAGAGCAGTTTCCTGGAGGAGGTACCCCTAGGCCTTGGGTCACTCACATGGGCTCAAATCTGGGGTCCCCCTCAGCACTTATCCCTGACCCTGGGCTCCTCCCTCAGACCAGCTACTTGTCCAAGACCCTCAACACATGTGGATCCGATGCTTAGAAATCCTGAGGCAGAAAAGACTTCTACACAAAGCAAACCTATGACATACCAAGCAGCCATGAGGACAAGTGCAGGTGAGAAGGGTCACCAGAGATGCCCCACCAGGGACCTTGAAGCCATCGACTGACCAGTGCTTGACAAAGCATCAAGCACTGGAGGTGTGGCTGGAAGTGTGCGGGCCAGTCACCCCCATTTCAGCACAGGCAGAGGGGAGACAGGCCCCAGGCACTCCGGGTTCTGCACAACGTAGTGTAAAACCCCAAGAAGGTAGAACATGCAAAATGACGGCCAGCAGTCCATTAGACTCCAAGCACCCAAGAGGGGCCAGGGGACCAGGATACCAGAGAGGCCTAGGATGAAGACATGTAAGGTTCTATCCTTGAGGGGCAGAGGCAGCCAGGACATAGGCCAGGAGCACATGGCCTACGTAACAAAAAACAAAGGCAGGAGTTGGACGGCTCAGCTGTAAAAGCACAGACCACTCTTACAGAGGATCGGGTTCAATTCCCAGCACCCACATGGAGTCCCTAACTCCAGTTCCAAGGGATCCGACGCCTTCTTCTGACCTCCACAGGCATTTCATGACATGATGCATTTAACACATACACAAGTAATACACTCACATTAAGAAACAAGAGCAGTAACCCGTTACCTCTCCCATGGCTGGTTTTCCCCCCAAACATACACCCATTTAGGAACAGAACCAGTATTCCAGGGTCAGAGGTCACCTGGTCCACCCTTGGCAAGACAACATGATCTTAGGGTTACCTGGGCAGGAGGGTGGTCTCTCCAGCAACTCTGACACTCTCACCAAGGTCTGGCTCTTGTCTACACCCTGCGGCCCACAGCATAGGGGTTCCTGCACCCTGGAATGAGAGACACGAGTTCAGAACCCTACAGGACAGGAGAACTCAGTAACCCCCATTCTTTACAGTACCTCCAAGTGTGCTGACAAGACCACCCTGTTCAACATCATGCCCTTAAAGGACCAGGTCAAAGATCTTCTGATCAAGCACTGTCACAGATGCACAACAGGCCCTCAGCTAAGTACTAGCCAAGCAGATGCAGACAGGCCTCCAGGGCCTCTTCCCAGGGTCATGTCCAGAGCCTCTGTATGTACTGCCCCAGGGATCCTATGCCCCCCGCCCAAAGATGGGACACTAACTGAGTCACGACAGATGACACTGCTGCTGTCTCAGGGTCGGGCTTGCTGTCTGTGATCTGACTCGACAGGGTCACCTGCCCAGCATCGCTCTCCCACGTGTGCCACGTATCCTGGGAAGGTGGAGGGATCTGAAATTTAAACACACAAATCAGGCAGATGATTAAAGGGAGAGAGACCTGATAAACTGCTGTACTCAGCCCAGTAGCCTCAGCAGGTTCCCAGGGACCCCCTTAAGCTTGGCCTGGGCTCAGGAAAGGAGATGCCCTCCAACGCCTCACTGCTGACTCTGGCTGGGCCTATCCATGGGCCGGGTTCACAGGGGCTCAGCCACCAGTTCCACTCCCCAAGCACAGGCAAGATAAACGTACAGGTGACTTTTGGGGCCAAAGGTGTAAAGTGTTAAGTGGTTCTGGCCCAGGGTGTGGCCTCACATATGGGCAACTGATTAATCAATGGGATTGGGAAGGAATGGAAACTAGTCCCCTCCCAGGAGAACACCACCAACTTGTACAGCCTCAACACACCAAAAGGGGCCAGGCAGAACATGGGGCCACCTTGGGCTGAGACCAGGAGCCCAAGGGGGGTGGGGGTGGGGCCTGGCAGGGGTAAAGAGAAAAGTGTGTTGCACAGTAGGTACAGGTTGCAGAGAGCTGAGTAGGCTATCACCTGATCCCAACTCACAAAAAGCGGCTTCCAGCTGGGGGCCAGACTGTGGGCAAGTTGGAGGAACCGCACAGACATCTCCAGGACAGAGGCCATGTCCTCCCGTCGGCCCTCGAACTGCGGCAAGAGGGCCCGCAGGTGCTCACAGCTCTGGGAGATCCGCCTCCTGTTTCCAGACAAGCCACTAAGGTCTGGAACTCTGTCCAGCCATTATCAGAGGGGAGAATGGCCTCTGGAACCCACCAATGGGCAGCCCCAGGGTCTCCTGGGCAGCAGGCCAAAGCCACTGGTTAGCTCTTCCAGCCTCCTGAACCCTTGGCCCTAAGGCACACACACTAACTGAGCCACACACAGGCCATCTACACGCTGGGCCTAACCCACAGCTCTGAACCATTACTCCTTTGGGGTTCAGAGGTGAAAGATGAGCCCAAGTCAGGTGTCTAGAGGATCCTTACATACACTGGCCTCTGGATGTCCAAGGCGGCTATCAAAGGGCTACAGTGCTACCCCTGGCCAGCCCCCACCCAACACGTCTGGGTCTACCAGGGGACCTGCCTTTAGTCCTGGCCCAGTTAGGTGAACCATGGTTAGACCTGAACTCCCACACCTCTTAGCCCCACCTCCCACCCAGGGCTACCGCACCTGCGTTCTCGCTCACTGACCACGTTCCTCCGAAGGCAGGGGCCCCGCTTCGCAGCTGCTACAAGAATCCTGGGGCGACAACCCGGGGGGGCATTCAGGAGCCCATTAGTCTCTAGGAGACAAGTCTTCCTGAAGGTAATAAAGCCAAGAGCACCACGGTGAAGCCCAGAAAAGCCACCAGGCACACCACTGGTAGAAACCAGGGCATTTTGGGTGCACAACTGCAGGAAAACGGAGGGCAAGCCTGGATAACCTAGAAAATCCAAGGGGCCAGCTCCCCTCCCCCACCTCCTGCACACCAAGGTAGACTACGCTCTGCATTATCGATGGCGGGGGGGGGGGGGCCCACCCCCCCCCCCACCAAAGGTGGACTCCGCTTTGAATATCGGAGGGGGGGGGGGGGGGGACCAGGAGAAGGGGAGGGAATCAGGAGAGGATGAGGACCGGGAGGATGGAGGAGGGGAGGAGAGGACGCCCAGGAGAGGACAGGGAGGACCGGCAGGACGAGGAGAGGCCCGGGAGGACAGAGGAGGCCTGGGAGGTCGAGGAGAGAAGCCGGAGAACTAGGGGAGGATGGGGGAGGTCAGTATCTAGACCCCAACCAAAGGCCTTCGGACCTGACGCCCTCTGAGCCCTCCAACCCACGCTTCACCTGCAACCCTCGACTCCGGGGTCTGCAGCCGCAGGCTTCGAGCTGCTGGACGCCATGGGCACGAAGCGGACGCGAAGGAAGCAACAAGCCGGAACCCAGCCGGAGGGTCCCCAGCCCTCGCAGTCCGCCCCGCCCTCCCAGTCCGCCCACCCCCACGAGCTCCGCATCCAACCAGCACCCGCGCTGCACACACCCACGCAGGCGCCCGCCACCGCTGCGTGCTGCCCACCTAGTGCTGGGCTGGCCCCGCCCCCTCTCGTGTTTGACTCGCTGCCCCACGTGCCTGACTCCTGACCACGTGACTGCCTACCTCGGCGCTTCTACCCCGAAAAAGTTGCCAGAAAGTAGCCAGATCAGTCCACGCACTGTGTCCCCTAGGGCGCCACAGTGCTTCTGCTGAAGGCTGGTTCTTTAAGCTGCAGGCCTCGGGGTCTGCAGCTCTTCCGTGGTCCAACCCTGTCCTTAAATTTTTTTATTACTTTGTGAGTGTATTCCCTGCATGTATGTAAATGCGCCCATGTTGTGCAATGCCCGCAGAGGTCAGAAGAGCTCATTGGATCCCCTGGAACTGGAGTTAGGGACGTCATTAGCTCCTATGTGGGTGCTGGGAATCGAATTCCGGACCTCTGCAGGCCGCTGAGCCATGTCTCCAACCCAGAGCTCACAGGCCGCGAGGCTGCTTCATTCTGTGTCTGATAGACCCGGCCAGACATGCCCTTTTAGATGGTTCCTTCCAGTGGGTGCTCCGCCCAACTTTGTAGGGTCAGCACAGCCGTGCACCTGCCCTCCCCTGACTCCATCCCCATGCCTCAAGTGTCTGGCTTCCCTCGCCAGTAAACAAGAGCCCAAGTGGGCCTGCTGCGCGCCAGGCCCGGTCCCAGCCAGACGCCTAGGACTGCCAACATGCGTAGCCTAGGCCAGACGCCTAAGACTGCCAGCCAGCATGCTTAGTCTAGGCCTGCATCACCACTTGGAGCCCCCACCCCCAATCTTTAGCCGGTCATCACAGATTCCCTCTCGCCTGCAGGAGTTGCGCAGTAAATAATCACTGGGAGGCAGGAAAGGGAAAACAGAGCCCTCTTCCTCATGCACGGACCAGCCCCACGGGAAGTGCGGTGAAGAATGGGGATGCTGCTGTTCAGCGGGGCATATGCTGGCGACAGTGGGTGCAAGTCATGGGTGGAAAACACAGCTCCTCTTCTGAGGGGTTGCAGAGGTGGGCCTAGCACCACTGCAGAAGGGGTCTGCCTTAGGGGGCAAGGGCATACCAGATAGCCAGAGTCCCTGCCCCTGCTCCCAGAGGCTCTCCAGTGGGCCTGGGTGGCACCAGGTGATGGGGCTGGGATCAGCTGGAAGTGGAGAAGGCCCAAGCACCAGGAAGATGCCAGGAAGAGGCAAGTGGTTGGCCCAGCCAGGGCTGCAGGACAGTGAGGAGAGTCTGGGCTAGTGCACGTGTGATCCCAGGCCATCTTGGCAGGGTTGGGAAGAGTACAGATTCTAGGTAGGGAGCAAAGCCTGGGCCCTGGTGATGGGTGTAAGAGCCACTTTGCACCCAAGACCCAGCCAGCCCCTCTCCCCAGCCAGATTAGGGCAGCTACAGTGCTTCTGCCCCCACTTATGGCAAATATGTGGCTTCTGGTTTGAGTGAGGGCTGTGAATTGGAGCCAGAAAATCTTACGGACATTCGATTCTGAAAGCACTTGGAGGGAAAGGGCAGCAGCACCTGCAGAGCTAGCAACGCTGGGGACTGCTCCAGCAGAAGCTGGTACAGGGGTCACGGTGGCCTTCTCCCCTCCTTGCTCACACTAGAGAGTGAAGGCAGCTGACGTTCGGGGTCTTGGGCATTCCAAGACAATGTAGCCAAATGTCCTTACTCCTCCAGAATGTCACCCAGCTTTTCAGGTTCTCCCAGGACAGACAACTCACCACTAGCTCTGATAAGCCCATGGCACCACTACCCTGCAGGGTGCCTGTCAGAAGGTGACATCAGATGAAGGCAGGATGCCCCTGAATAGTGATCTGAGGTCCAAATGGTATAACCTGCAGGAGGGTCTGTTGGCTATTGGGCAGGTGAAGGGCCTGGAAGAAAGGCCTAGCCCTGCATTGGTTCCTAACCAGGGGAGGTGGGATCCAGCAGATCCATGGGATGAACTGGGCTGTGTCCTTCTGGGGACTGTGGAACACCCCAGCCCCAAACACCTGTGTTCAGCCTGCACTCCTGCAGGCAAATGGCTTCTCTCTGGAGAGACTTGGGGCCCAGGAGACCAACTCGAGGTGTCAGGGTATACACCACACCGCCAGGATGTCTTGAGACACTAGACTGTAGCACCCATACCCCACTAGCTGTTAAAAGGTGCCTTTGTGGCTGAGAGCTGGGCAGGACTCTGTGCTACCTGGAGTCTTGGCAGCCCCCGACCCCACACACCCAGCCTGTCATGTTCCTGGCAGTGCGTTTGCACTAGACCAGTTACCCAAGGAGTCTAAGTGCAGACCTCAGTTGAGATGGGAGAAGGGGGTAGCTACAAGGACACTTCAACAGCGGTGCCATGGGTGCCTGCCAGAGGCCCTCCTCCTTTCCCAGTGCCCCACATAGGCCTAGGTCACCCTGGGGTACGTGGACCAAGGGCGCGTTGAGGTTTCTAACCATCGGTAGCCTCTCTCTTGGTTTTCGGGGTCGGGAGGTCTTCCAGCGCTGGTGATGGAGTGGTCCCCTGCAGGACACACCCTTGACCTCCTCCCTCCAGGATCTCCCTCGCTGCGGCCGCAGTCCCGGTGCCGCCGGCAGGGGGCGCGCGCGAACAGGCGCCGGAACCGCGACCCTGATTTTTTTTTTTTTTTTCCCCAACAATCTTAGAGGAAAAAAAAGATTTTAAGTGTTTGGGGCAAAGCGAGGAAAGAGGTGACAGCGGTTTCTGCCCAGCCTCGCGTCCTCATGCGGCTCGCCGACGGGGCGCGCAGCCCGGGAAGCATCTGCCCAGAGGCGCTCGCCAGGGGCTTCTCCAACCGGACCTTCGAGTTCGACGACGGCGGCTGCACCCCCAGGTACCGGCTGCTGGGCCCCGCCAAGCGTGGGGACCCCCAGCCTCCCCCACGATCCCCTCCTGAGCACCTCCTCCTGATCCGTGTGTGCCAGGCTCATCACCCTGGGAACCCTCTGTTGGGAAGAGCGGGCACCCCTCGGGGCGGGGCTGCAGGTGCCCTAAGAGGGGACCTGTGCACAGAGGGGGCTGGAGCTCACAGCCATTTCTAGAGCCAGAGCTCAGCCTGTCCAGGCATGCAGGGATCGGGGGAGGGGTCATGTAAGGCGATCCAGGTCATGTGCAGGAACCACCCCCAGCAGAGGAGACTCAGGGCGTAGGTGGGGGAGAGCCCGTAGCATGGGGCAGCGGTACAGGAGGGGCTTCCGCAGGGCAGCCCTTTCCAGCCAGAGGAAAGTCCTGGGTTCAATCACTGGTGATCTTCAGCTGCTGGTCATTTCTTTGGGGTTCCTGACTGTCCATCCCTATGAGGGACAGGGTCAAGGTCAACTGAGAAGGGCATCCAGGTGACCTGGGAGCCACCTCATCCTAGGCAGTGGCCTTCAATACCACATAGCTCCTACCCATCCTGACCATGTGAATGCAGCAGTGGTGGAGGAGCCAGAAGGACAAGGCAGCATATGCTGACATTGCCCCCTGGGTCAGGTCCTGATCCTTCCTGCTCCCTCCCCCACCCCACCAGGACCAGCACAACTGTCCCTCACCCTGTGCCAGGAGCACCCAAGGACCCTGGACAGAGCCTGCTGCTGCCCAGTCCCTTTCCTCTGGTTGTAGCCAAGCACACAAAGTGACCCCACCGTTGACGAGGGACTCAGTTGCCCCTGTATAAAAATGAGGGGTGGGGCAGCTGGTCTTTGAGGCCCATTCCAGATGACAGACGAGGCTGAAAGGGCTGGTTTCCAGCTGGAGCCTCAAGGGCCAGGGACACACCTGAGAGTGCCAGGGGGTAGTGTGGGTAAGGAACACATTCTCTGAAAACAAGCAGACTGTCCTCAGAAAGTACCCAACACCTGGTCCTCCTCTGGCTTCTCTAGAGTCAATCAGGTGGTGTCTGGCAGGCAGCGTGATCCCAGGATGACTCTCGTTTCTGGCACCTTGCACTTCTGAGACCCTCTGCCACCTCCCTCTGTGGTCTGGTGTCACCCTCCCTGGAGAGTCAACTCTGAGTTCATTACCTGTCCTACTTCACTGCCTGGGCCAGACCAGGCAGGAGACTGTATCCTCAAGGGCCTGGGCTTCAGTTCTAGCACTAATGTTGTCATCCACCTGGCACTGTCCAAAAATCTATCCTACCCCCATCTGAGCTGTCCTCTGTCCCTGCAGAGATTCACATACCTGCAGGTGGAGCTGCTGCCCAGGCTGGTGTGTGTGTGTGTGTGTGTGTGTGTGTGTGTGTGTGTGTGTGTTTCTGTATATGTGTGTGAGGGTGTCAAGACAGGCAGTGTGAGGAGGGCAGGATAGGGTTGGGGAGAGGGGGCGCTGAGCCCTGGGTGGCACCTAAGCTGACAGCCCCCAGTGGCCTCAGCCTGGGAGAGGGGACTCTTCTCACGCAGACCTGAGGGGTGGGAGACAGGAGTTCTGTAAGCACATTCCTGCACTAGGCCTCACGGGGACAGGTGGAGTCAAGCAGTCCTGCCTTGGATATACCTCTGTGCTTTGTAGGTGCTGGGAACTGTGAGCCGCAGTACTGTGCAGGGGAGTTGGAGTTGAGAGTCAGTCTATCCCCAGTACCTGCCAGCCCATGTCCCCAGTCCTACAGCAAGGGTACCAAAGTCCCAGACTAGGGCTGAGCAGTGGGACTCACGAGAGGAGTTCCTGGCCCTCCCAGGTGCAGGAATCTGTACCGGAATCCCAGACTCCATGACCTCCTTTGCTGCCCCCACTCCTCACCCTCAAGCCCCCTGCTGTGCATCCCCAGGCCCCAGCCACCTCAAAACTACTGGACACTGCCTTTCTCTGTCCTGCCCCTTCTTGCTTCAGTGTGACAGAGGGAGGCCATGTTCGCTGTCCCGGAACCAGGGTGTTTCTCTTCACCACCCCAGTGCACGTCCCACCAGAGTCCCAGACCTTTCCTGGAACTGTGTGTTCTGAACAGCCCAGCTCTCAGGCATCATGAGACCCTCTGGGCTCTGAAGACTAAAGCCTCCTGCCAGGGTACATGCCTGGCCAGCCGTCGAGGTCTGTTATTAGAGAGTCATACCTCCAGGAAAAGAGGAAATGACCCAGGTCCTGTGGGAAAGATTTGAGGGCCCACAATGCAGCTCTGGCTGGCAGGAGGGACAGCTAGGCAGCTCCCCAGCTGAGACACAGAGCTTCGAATCCTTTAGGTGTTAGGTTTCAAGGGCAACTCAGGAGGCAGCAGTAAGAACAGGGGGCAGAAAGTCCCCCAGGATTCCTTCCCAGTGCCAACTGCAGGTGTAGCACGGGTCGTTACTCGACAGCATCTGAGGGTCCTGGCCTTAGCCACCCCCATGCGGGTAGTCTCAACTGCCAGGTCCCTTGGTGACGTTGCTTATGCAGTTCTGCTATGGCAGCACCATGCTCTGTTGTCATGACTCTAACTTCTGAAAGGTCTCTTGATGATCTCCCCTGAGGTTTCTTGACCTGCTCCCCAGGGACACAGAGGGGTTTTCAGGCCCTGCTGTACGGACTTCCAGTCATTGGCGGTAGCTATTCAGTGTCTCTGTGAACAGTCCTAGTTACTCTAAAATGTAAAAGTCCCCCTATCCAGGCATGGCGGCACACACCTTAGTTTGAGGCCAGCCTGGTCTCCATAGCGAATCCAGGCCAGCTAGGGCTACAGGGAGACCCTGTCTCAAAAAAAAAAAAAAAAAAAAAAAAAAACAAAACCCGAGGAGAACAGAAGTTGGACGTGGCTGTGCACACCTCTTATCCCAGCACTCAGGAGGCTGTGGCAAGGCAAGGCGATTGCTTGAGCCCATGGTTTGGAGACCAGCCTTAGTGACATAGTGAGACTTTGTCTTAAAAAGAAGAGGATATATGTGGTCAAGGGCGAGATCCCAAGATAGAGTGAAGCCTTAGGAGGGGGCCTACAGCTGCCCATAGACCCAGAATGAGGATGAGGTGGATGAGGAGGCTGGCCTCACAGAAGCAGAGGTGGCATCAGAGGAGGGCTGGCATTAGGATGGGACCTGTCATGTGTCAGGAACAGGAGAACAGGAGCCTGGAGGGTTAAGGAATCGTATCCAGCTCATCCTGCACCAGGCTCAATAGTTGTGTAAACCTTGAAAATCACAACAGCATTCAGGGTCTCTGTTTCCCCATCTGTAAAATTACAGACAAGTGACAGCATCCACCTTGGGATGTGGTGGTAACAACACAGGTCAGCAGGGTAGGTACCTCCTTGCATCTGGGCAGTGTTATTTTTAAGAAGCTCTGTGGGGACACATCTGGAGTGCAACATCTGCCTGCTTCCTGACATGGATTCTTAAGAGTGGAAATAAATACCAAGCCAAAGGATTCAGGCATCATTAAGGCCTAGAGGCAGGACCAGGTCCATCCTACCAGTGTCCAGGGCATAGTGACCTTGACACCATACCCAGAAGAAGTTACTAGCTCCTGGGCAGGAAGACTTGGCCCACACACCCTTGCCCAGAGCCTCTCACTTTGTAAACCTTATCAGTTGCAGCAAAGACAGAATCTCTTTACTACTTTAGATTTTTCTTTGAGTAAGTGAGATTGTATCAGACATGTTTGTTGGTGCTTTGATCCCTTTTGTAACTGCTCGTTCAGGTCCCCTTGATTATTCTAGATGGGTACGGCCACATGTCCTAAGGACAGCCAGCTTCTCAAGTACAGCCAAGACCGGTGTGGACAAGGAAGGGCCTGTGTGTCTTTAAGCAGATCCCAGTGTTGGACCTTGCTCTGGGGGTCTCTTGCCTTTGAACCTCCCTGCGGGCCTGGCAAGATGGCTCAGTGTACTTGCTAGTTTCTGTCAGCTTAACACAAACTAGAGGCACCTGGGAAAAGGGACCTTGAGGAATTTTCTCCATCAGATTGGCCCATGAGCATGTCAGTGGGGCATTTACTTGACTGTTGATTGGTGTAGGAGTGAATGTGAGTGGTGCTGTGCCTGGTACCTCTCAGAGATGTGTAAGATGAAATGAACCCTTCCTCCCCAAGTTGGTTTTGGTCAGTGTTTTAATCACAGTGATAGAAACCAGCCTAGAACACTCAGCTTGTAAAGGCATTTGCCACCAAGCTCAACAACCTGAGTTTGAGCCCTTAAAGACATCCCCTGACCTCCACATATGTGCCATGGCATGTTCACGCCCTCCAAGTATGTACATATATATATGTGATGAACCTCCCTGTGACTTCTGCCTTAGATTGGCCCATGAGCGTGTCAGTGGGGCATTTACTTGACTGTTGATTGGTGTAGGAGTGAGTGTGAGTGGTGCTGTACCTGGTACCTCTCAGAGATGTGTAAGATGAAATGAACCCTTCCTCCCCAAGTTGGTTTTGGTCAGTGTTTTAATCACAGCGATAGAAACACTCAGCTTGTAAAGGCATTTGCCACCAAGCTCAACAACCTGAGTTTGAGCCCTTAAAGACATCCCCTGACCTCCACATATGTGCCATGGCATGTTCACGCCCTCCAAGTATGTACATATATATATGTGATGAACCTCCCTGTGACTTCTGCCTTGGCAGAGGGAGAGGCCAGGGATGACGATGGTCCCCAGGCCCACACAAGGCCTGTGAGCCCCTGCAGCCGCCAGGCCTTCTCCCTTCCGCCACGTTGACTGTCGCAGAAAGCTGCCCGAGGTGTCACTTTGGATCAATCTCCAGCCGCAGCGTAGCTCATCCGAGAGCCCCGAGCTTTCACTCTGGGGTGGGATGTGTGTGCCTCAGGAGACAGGCGTGAGCAGCCACCTCTGACGTGGACACCGAGCCCCTCCCCCAGGCTGCCCAGGAGCTCAAACAACTCTGACTTTTTAATGGTGGTGCACTGGAAGAGGTTAGTCTTTCTGCCATGGTCAG